CCGGAACCTTCTAGAACCTTCCCGGTACAATACCAAAAAATCCTGAACATTTTCTGGTGGCCAAAATAGGACTTACCATATACAAATCTTTACCTCCGGGCCATTCCAAAACTCCTCGTGACGTCCGAGATCTCATCCGGGACGCCGAACAACATTCGGTAACTGCACACTAATTCCCATAATAACTCTAGCGTCACCGAACCTTAAGTGTGTAGACCCTACGGGTTCGGGAATCATGCAGACATGACCGAGACAGCTCTCTGGCCAATAACCAACAGCGGGATCTGGATACCCATGTTGGCCCCCACATGTTCCACGAATCTCATCGGATGAACCACGATGTTAAGGATTCAAGCAATCCCGTATACAATTCCCTTTGTCAATCGGTACATTACTTGCCCGAGATTTGATCGTCGGTATCCCAATACCTCGTTCAATCTCGTTACCGGCAAGTCACTTTACTCGTTCCATAATGCATGATCCCGTGACTAACTACTTAGTCACATTGAGCTCATTATGATGATGCATTACCGAGTGGGCCCAGAGATACCTCTCCGTCACACGGAGTGACAAATCCGAGTCTCGATTCGTGCCAACCTAACAGACACTTTCGAAGATACCCGTAGTGCACCTTTATAGCCACCCAGTTACGTTGTGACGTTTGGCACACCCAAAGCATTCCTACAGTATCCGGGAGTTGCACAATCTCATGGTCTAAGGAAATGATACTTGACATTAGAAAAGCTTTTAGCAAACGAACTACACGATCTTGTACTATGCTTAGGATTGGGTCTTGTCCATCACATCATTCTCCTAATGATGTGATCCCATTATCAATGACATCCAATGTCCATGGTCAGGAAACCATAACCATCTATCGATCAACGAGCTAGTCAACTAGAAGCTCACTAGGGACATGTTGTGGTCTATGTATTCACACATGTATTACGGTTTCCAGTTAATACAATTATAGCATGAACAATAAACAATTATCATGAACAAGGAAATATAATAATAACCATTTTATTATTGCCTCTAGGGCATATTTCCAACAGGATTTGTCTTCAACGTTGTTTGCGCCAGCCATAGAAGATTTGGGCGGTCTGGACACGCCACCTTCCTCGGGATTAGCTGGATATGCTGGCCTAGGTGCAGCAGCTCTTGCTGGATATTCTGTGCCTTCTACGCTGCCTCGCACTCGCCTTCAAAGAGGGACTCTTGTACCTATAAATTATAAAACTAAATATGGTCTGATTGTTTTAGATGCTGCTCCAGGAGAACCGTGTACTGTTTCTCAAGCCCTTGCTGATCCACAGTGGAAACAAGCTATGGTTGAAGAATTTGAATTTGTTCACAAAAATGGTACATGGCATCTTGTTCCTTCACAGCCTGGTGCAAATGTAATTGACTGCAAGTGGGTGTTCCACATCAAGCGATGGTCTGACGGTGCTATAGATCGCTACAAAGCCCGACTTGTTGCCAAAGGGTTCAAGCAGAGGTATGGACTTGACTATGAGGACACCTTCAGTCCTATTGTTAAAGTTGCGACTATTCGCCTTGTTATGTCCATTGATGTGTCTCGTGGATGGTGTCTCCGCCAGCTAGATGTGCAGAATGCGTTTATTCATGGTGTTCTGGAAGAGGAAGTCTATATGAAGCAACCTCCTGGGTTTGAAGATCCTCATAAACCATTCCATGTTTGCAGGCTTGATAAGTCACTCTATGGCCTGAAAGAGGCTCCAAGAGCGTGGTACTCTCGGTTGAGCTCAAAACTGCAGAATCTTGGTTTTGTTCCCTCCAAGTCTGATACTTCTCTATTTATTTATCATCGATGCCACACTATTATTTTTGTGCTCATTTATGTTGATGACATTATTGTTACTAGCTCATCTAATGAGGCAGTCATAACACTTTTGAAAGACTTGCAGTCAGACTTTGCTCTAAAAGATTTAGGTGACTTGCACTTCTTTCTTGGCTCGAGGTAAAGAGAAACAGGGAAGGTGGTCTTCATCTTTCTCAAGAAAAATATGCGTCTGATCTTTTGAGCAAGGTAGGGTTACATGGCTGCAAGCTATCACCAACACCACTCTCCAGATTAGAAAAATTATCTCTTGCAGAGGGTGTACCTCTGAGTCAAGAGGATGGTACCAAATACAGAAGTTTGGTAGGAGCACTTCAATATCTGACACTCACCAGGCCTGACATTTCCTTTGCAGTAAATAAAGTGTGTCAGTTTCTTCATGCACCTACCTCTTCTCATTGGACTGTTGCCAAACACATACTGAGATATGTGAAGAGCACCCTAAGTGTTGGACTAACCTTCACCAAATCAACCTCTACACTTGTTAGTGCTTTTTCTGATTCTGATTGGGAAGGTTGTTTGGATGACAGAAGGTCAACAGGTGGTTTTGCAGTTTTCTTTGGACCCAACTTAATTTCCTGGTGTGCAAAGAAACATGCAACAATGTCAGGATCAAGTACTGAGGCAGAATACAAGACACTAGCCAATGCAACAGCAGAAATCATATGGGTTAAGTCTTTGCTTAAAGAACTTGGGATATATCATACACAAACTCCATGTCTCTGGTGTGACAACATTGGTGCCACATACCTCTCTGCTCACCCTGTTTTTCATGCAAGAACAAAACATATTGAGATTTATTATCACTTTGTTAGAGAGAGGATTGCTAATAAAGAACTGGAGATTCGGTTTATTCCTTCAAAGGACCAAGTTGTTGATGGGTTCACAAAAGCATTGCCTACCGGACTGTTTGAGGAATTCAAGCGTAATCTAAACTTGAGAAGTTCAGATTAAGGAAGGATGTTAAACATATTGTTGTGTTACAGGACTCTTGGGCCAGCCGAACCAACCTTGGCCCTCAGGTTGGAGTAGTTAGGATAGATTTTCTGCTAAGCTTTATCTCTATCTCTAAACCTCCACCTCCTGTAATATCTCCTGTGGTTAGCCTCGACGCTGCTACCTCCTGTATCACGCTACATATCAATATATACCTGCGGGTCTTCATGTATGGAGATTGAGACGCTTACCCATAATTTCTATACATACTATTAACTTTAATTTGGCATGGTTGCCACCATTATGATTATAATTAGCAAATGCCGAGTTCTCACATGGTACCACTAGTGCAAATA